CAGCCAGTCGGCTTTGCCGCTCTTTGCCGCTCCGCGCTGCGGCAGTGGGTTAGCTGGCGGGGCGGGGCGGGGCGGGGCGGGGCTGCGGTGAGCCGAGTGGAACGTTCTGCAACTCGCTGCCGCGACCCGAAGCGACCCGACCCGCTCAAGCATCATATTGCTCGCGCCGCCGCGCACTTCTTCTCCTTCTCCCCCTTTCCCGTTGTTTACCATTTTCTTGCCTTTTTTCGGGGGGCCGCGCCGTCGGGCCGTCGTCGCGGCCGCGGCTGCAGGGACACCGTTACCGCGCCGCCGCCTCGCGAATCAAACGAAGGCCCGCGGCGATCCTGTGCCGTCGCCGCCGTCGCCGCCACGGCCGTGCGTGGAAGGGAGTGGACCCTCCAGGCCTGGAGGGAGGCGTACCAGGGAAGGGAGGCGTACCCGCGAGGCGTACCCACGAGGGGTATCCACGTGGCGTACCCGCGAGGCGTACCCGCGGGGCGTGCCAGTGAGGCCTATTCGCGGGGGCGTACCGCCGACGGTGTACCCCCGTGGGCGTGCCGGTGAGGCGTACCTGCCCGGAGGCAACGGTCGGGAGGTGGAGGCCGGTGGCGGCGGTGGCTCCCCGTTTCTGCCGATACTGTATTCTCCGGTCCCGCGGCCCCTCGCGGCCCCTCGCGGCCTCGCGGTGGTGGGTAACGCCGTGAGGTGAACCCGGTCACGCCGGCGCGCCGCCGCGCCAGGCCGCCACGCGTTGTACGTGATCCCCCGGACTCTCTCTGGCGGCCGGCTCGTTTCTCCTCATCTAGTTGGCTGCTTTCCTTGGCCCTTGGCTGCCCTCGCTGTGCCGGCCGCGCGTTTGAAGGGCCGTCCGGGGTCAGGGCCAGCAGGGCCAGCAGGGCCAGCAGGGCCTGTGCCGGCCGGGCCGCGCCTGGGCCGCGCCTGGGCGGGCCTAAACGCCGAGGGCCGAGGCGAGGTTAGGAACGTGCTGGGCCTCTGGGCCGCGCCGCCGCGATCCGCTCCTCGCCGCTCTCGGCTCGCTCTGATTGAACGTCCCTCCGCCCGCTGCAGCGGCAACGTCAGGCCCGGCAACGCGCGGCAACGCCCCCGTGTCGCTGCACGTGCCGCCGTGCCGCCAACTGCGCGGCCCGGGCCCGCCAGGACTCGGTGCTCAGTGTTTCCGTCGCTCTGTTTCTCTCGCACTCGTGGTTCGCGGCCCGCGTCGGCGCGAGAAAGAAAAAGCGGCGAAAACCCTGTTCGGAACGAGCTTGTTATTTTTGTTTCGAGAGTTGGATGGCGCGCCGCGTCAAGCAGACCCCGGCTCGTCTCGACAGTCTCGACCTGGCCTGTCCGCGCCGCCGGCTTTAGTATAATTTGAGTTGGAAAGTTAAAGTTGGGCGGGTTGGAGGGGACTTTGGAGCTTAGCGCGCTTTTGTCGCCGCGGCCCCGAGCGTCCCCCAGCCGGGCGGAAACCGGTGCAAACAACGGCGGCCTCTCTGCATTCCGCGTGCACTTCTGCGTGCCGCGGCAATGGCAGCCGCCGTGGCAGTGGCGTAGGCAGCGTCGCACAGCGTCGCGCAGCCGGGGCCGAATCAGTTCATAAGAGATTCCGATCGCGATACGTTTACGGTACTCCGCGGTCCGAGTCGTATCGGTCGCTGTTCTATGCAAATGCCGATACACTTTACACCTCGAGTAGTCCCGCACCGCGGTGCACACGGGCCGCGCCGGCCGCGCACTCCGAGGAGCCGATAGTGGTTGGCGCGGTGGTGGGCAGCCCCGGGGTGGGCTGCTTGCCTGGCCTGGGTGGCCTGACCCGTGTGTGGTGGGCGGGGCGGGCGGAGCGCCGGGCGGGATGGGCCACCCGCACGGCAGGCATGGCGCGGGGCGGCCTATGCTGCAGGCGCTCTGCCGCCGAGCAGCAATCAGCTCCAGGCTAAGGGGGAGCGGGTGGGAGGCGTGAAGTTGGCTCCAGGGCCCTCATTAGATTTAGATGATGGGAAATAAATACTGTCTCGGCGCTGCGAGCGGGGCAAGGGTGGCATTTTCTCATCTCGCCTCCGTTGATTGTGTTTGGCGCTAGTTCGCCCGAGGCTCGTCACACGATCACCAGCAGCAGGCCGGCGCCGCGTCGCCCCGAGGTGTGACTCGCTGCCGGATGGCGGTGCGGATCACCTTTCCGAGGAAATCTCGCGCCGGGAGCGACGTGTCCCGCCGGGGGGGGGGGGGGGGGTCGTCATGGAAACGAACGCTCCGGTCGCTCCAGTTGCCGCTCTGCTGCGGTCGGCGGGGTACAGCCTCGGGTACAGCGTGGCACGGCCAGGCGCGGCGTGCCCGGTACAGCGTTACAGCGTGCACGACACCGCGGCCACTTTTTATTTCATCCGCCGGCCGGTGTTGATGGCACTGGTCGATGGGAAAGCTGCCGCCGCGCTGCATGCCGCCGCGGCCTCGGGACGAAAGCTGGCGGCGGTGTGCGCGCCGCGCGGTCGGGCCGATACTCGCCTTGGACGCGGAGGGGTCATCGGGGTGCACCGTGCACCTCCCCGTCGGCGCGCCGCCATCGCCGCCGACGACGGATGGGCCGTGTGCGCCGACGCCACCGCGGCCAACTGAATCACGTTTATGTTAATGCGGCGTCCGGCCGTCTGCCTGGCCGAGTCGGACGGGCGGACGGCTGGAGGGAGGCAGGTCACTGCAGGGCCGCGGCGCGCAGCGCGCAGCAGGGCGCCTTGCGCAACGCGCGGCCAGGGAGCCGGTAGACGACGCGCTGGTCGAGGGCGTAGCGGTCGCTGGTCGGCAAGGCGCAAGGCGCTGGTCGAGGGCGTGCTGGCCGAGGACGCGCTGGTCGAGGGCGTAGCGGTCGCTGGTCGGCAAGGCGCAAGGCGCTGGTCGAGGGCGTGCTGGCCGAGGACGCGCTGGGCGTCCGTCGAGGCTCGTCGTGCTGCCCCGCTCTCTCGCGTCGTCCCTCGCAGTCCCTCGTCGTCCCTCGCTCTCCGCTTTCCCTTTCCTCGCACGTCGGCTGGACGTCGGCCACGTCGGGTCGGGCCGCGTCCCCGGTCGAGCCGGCCGCCGACTCGACCGTCATGTGACTGGCAGTGACAGGGCCCCGGGCGGCCCCAGGCCCTGGGGCGTTGCTGGCCAGGCGGGCCTTCTGTTGTGTGGGTGACCTTGGCCGATGGCGGGTCATTGTCACGCGCATCGACAAGGAGTCGGTACGCGCACCGCGTCGCACCGCGTCGCACCGCGTCGCACCGCGTCGCACGACCGCGGCGCGGCAGTGTTTCGGTTTGTAAAGCAGGGAGCGGGTGAAAAGTTCAGACCCCTGCTCGGTGCACCGATTCCAAAGTCAGTCAGACGGCCTTGTGGACGGAACGCGATGCGTCGGACGTCGGGGCACAACACCAGTGACTCACTTCGGTGCTTTTCGTGGCTGTGTATTGATTTGGCTGAGGCGTGGGCCTTGCGCCGCTTGCTTCGCCTGTGCCTCGGCCTTGGCCGTGCCAGTCGCACGTGATGAGAAGGGGCTCATGTCGGATTCTTTGTGTGGCCGCGCGCGGACGGACGGACAGACAGACGCGCACCAGCCTTGACCCACGGCGCTGGCGGGGCCTGATCCGGCCGGGCGACACCCGATTAGGAAGCCTGCCGGCCGGCACGGGCCATCGGGCCATCGGGCCATCGGGCCATCGGGCCATCGGGCCATCGGGCCATCCAGCAGACCCACTGCGAGCGGGAGGAGGGGGCGTCCCGGGCTGACGGGGCACAGTGGGCCAGAAGACCGGTGGAGGCGGCCAAAACTCGAGACGCGTTTTGAGCTCCAGAGAATCGCTAAATGGCACTCGAACCGAACGTGTGACCCCACCAATGGATTGCTCTCCGAACGAGGAATCCATTGGTGGGGTCACACGTTCAGTTCGAGTCCCGTTTAGCGACTCTGGAGCTCAAAACGCGTCTAGAGTTTTGGCCGCCTCCACCGGTCTTCTGGCCCACTGTGGGCGTTTCGGGCTGACGGGGCGCCCCGCTCGGAATAAGCCTCCGGGGCCTCGCCATGAGCGGCCTGCCATCTAGACCAGACTGCCATGTGCCCTACCGCCGGCCGCCGTGCAGCTAGGGCGAGCGAGGGTGACCCCGCGTCTTTCTCGACGCCCCCGCTCGGACCGCCGCCACCCGGGTCCGCTCGGGCCATCCCATTCCGGTTCCGCAAATTGACTCATTGTATGGAAATGGAGCGGTATTTTCAACGCGTGTCGGCGCATCGGCCAGACCAGTGGGCCGCATCGCCCGGCATTGCCGCATGGGGGCGAGTGGCGTCGCGTTTGTTATGGGGTCAAAGACTCGCCCGCTTCGAAAAAAGATAAAAATAACAATAATTAATTATTTTTGTTTTAAGAAAGGGACTTTTGAGCTCGTTCGTTTTGAAGTGTCGGGCCTGACCCGTGTGGGCCGGGCCCGGCCGGGCCCCTCAGACTCTCGGGCCGTTTCGGAGAAAGCCGCTTTAAAATGGCAATCTTTATGCCCGCTCTCTTTGGCTCTGGAGGTGTGCAGCACCGACAGCCTCAGGGACGGACACACTCGCTACTTCCTTTTTTTCGTTTTGTTTTTGAAACCTTTTCTCGTTGAAATAATAAGTCGCAGCACCGAGAGGCGGTGTCGGCAGCGGCTTCGGCGTACTGTACCGTGGACTTGTCTTTTTACCCTCACAGATTCTGACCCGAATGCGGGCTGGCCGCCGAGCTCGGCCGAGGCGACGAAGCGTCCGGGGGGTGGAGAGCACCTCATTATTCGTTGTGTCTGGCCGCAAACCGACGGGGACTAGGGAAGGACTCGGGGCTGCCTTTCATCTAGTTGAGCTCCTGGACAGTCGACAGGTCGATGGTCCCACCCCACGGCGTGGGTACCCGCCCGTTTCCACTTCGTCGTGGTTTCGGAAGTTTCGGAACGACGACCTGGAAACGGTAGCGTTGCTGTGGAGTCCTTTGCGATCTGAAAAACTGAAAAGGCGCTTCTTCTGTTCACAGTGACGGCGCCGCTGCCTCCGCAACGGCCATGGATCCCGCTGACGCGTCCGAACCGAGCCAGGCCCACTTGTAAGTAGTTTTGCGGAGAGATGCTCTTGACGTTCTGGCGGAGGTGCCGCCGAGACCAGTGTGCTGGCCGTGCTGTCGCCGTGCTGACGACGCGCCGTGTTGCAGGCATCTTCACCGTCATGTGCTACAACGTGCTGTGCGACAAGTTCGCCACCAGGCAGATGTACGGCTACTGCCCGAGCTGGGCCCTGGAGTGGGAGTACCGCAAGAAGAGCATCCTGGACGAGATCAGGCACTACGCTGCCGACATCATCAGCCTTCAGGTGCGTTGGCAGTTGGTCTCAGCGTAGGGTCCTAAAAGTTCCAAGTCGCGACGTGTATGGTTCCCGCTTGAAATTCGGACTAGGAGACGGACTAGATGAGTCTCTTCGCCGACTTGTTTGCGCGAATGCATGCATGCATGCATGGGATGCGCGTCGACGCTAACACAACACTTGTTTCCCTTCCGGCAGGAGGTGGAGACCGACCAGTTCTACAAGTTCTTCCTCCCCGAGCTGAAGCGAGATGGCTACGACGGCATCTTCTCCCCCAAATCGCGAGCCAAGACCATGGCGGAGAGTGACAGGAAGTATGTCGACGGATGCGCCATCTTCTTCCGAATCGCCAAGTGAGTGGTTGCAGCGCGCAGCGTCCTCGGTGGACGGTCCACCGCCCTCTTCCCCCACTGAAGGGAGCCTGCTCACCGTTTCTGTGTGCTTCAGGTTCACGCTGGTGAAGGACCACCTTGTCGAGTTCAACCAGTTGGCGATGGCCAACGCTGAGGGCTCTGACCACATGCTCAACAGAGTCATGCCCAAAGACAACATCGGCCTGGCCGCGCTGCTCAAGACCAAGGAGGCTGCCTGGGAGAACGGTGAGTAAGACCCCGGCATGGCCCCGGTGAACGGGGAAAGCACACCCACACACAAACAGGTCAGAAACTACTGTAGGAACACACCATCAGTACACACAGACACAGCACGTCACTGCTCCGTTCTCCTTCCCTGCTTCCACGTGTTCCACGTCCACCTTGTCCAGCCCATGGCAGTACTGCTGCAGATACTCCGGCGTGGATGCGGCGCTGCGAGGGGTATCTCCATGGTTCGTCGTTTCGCCACACCGACGCTAGGTGGCAGCACTGCCGCTGGGAGTCGGAGTCGGAGCCTTGTATTTGTTTCGCAGTCCGGTTCGGTGAACGTGTCATGTTTTTGCCCCCACCGCCACAGGAATTTGAGCACAGAATTGTTTTTCTTTGATCTGCCTGTATCAGCGACTGTGAGACGAAGAGTGCGACGGATGGCTCTCATATCGCCGTACTTTTAAGTTTTAATTTTCCGACTGTGTCGCTGTTACGAGAGAAACTGCACTCTTTTGCGGGGGTTGTGAATTTGCTGAAACATAACCTCCATCAACTTGTCAGACAGTCATTCTTTGGATTTGTTATGATATTTAGATAAGAAGAGAACTCAAGAAGGCACAAACCATGGCCTATTCTAACCAGCAACAGTACTGGCCTCCTCAAAGTAACCCGGACCAAGTTAGCTACGACCTCAACTTCTCAGATACTGATTTTTCGCAATCAGCTCCTCAGGGACTGGATTTTCAGAGCTTCTCATCTGCAGCTGACAACTATGGTGCTCAACCTGCTGGCAACTACAACTATGGTGGATACAATGAGGCAGATTCCTTTATGAGTCCTGATGCAACGCAAGGTGGCACTGACTTTGATGATGAACCACCTTTGTTAGAAGAGCTTGGCATCGACCCAGACAGAATCGTTGCGAAGACGTTAGCTGTGCTCAATCCCTTTCATGGACAAGGTGTTACTGATGATGCTAATTTTCTCCTGCAGGATGCTGACTTGGCTGGCCCTGGTCTGTTCTGTCTATTATTAGGAGCTTGTCTCTTGCTCTCAGGGGGCAAAGTCCCATTTGGTTATATTTATGGACTTGCCATGATATCCTGTATTGTTATGTACATACTATTAAATCTCATGACCACAACTGTTAGCATTACTTTAGCATCTGTTGCATCTGTCCTTGGTTATTGTCTTCTTCCTGTTGTTGGTTTATCAGGCCTTGGAATTTTTGTTCCTTTGACAGGCATCTTTGGCTTGGCTGCTGGACTTTTTATTGTTGTTTGGTGTGCTCTCTCAGCATCAAGATTATTTGTTACCATGTCGAGTGATCCTCAACAAAGGCCTTTGGTAGCCTATCCATGTTGTTTGTTGTATGGTGTGTTTGCTCTGATTGTAATATTCTGATTGAGTGCCATATTTCATTATCTACAATACCCAATGTCCTGAAATTTTTAAGTGGAATAACTGTAAATTAGATGGCTCTCTTTGATGTTGATTATTTAACTTAATAAACCTTTCCTTGTCATGCGTAATTTTATTCATTCATTCTTTGGAATCCAACTGGGTGTCCCTTTGCAGAGGAAGGAGAACGAATCATACACATTTATCCACAGTCACTTCTATTTTCTCCACATACAATTTAAATCGAACTTAGCGCCTCATAGTTTTACACATAGTTTCTCTTATTAATCTGTAAGTTAATTCTTCAATGGTCTTAAGTTTCTTCCTTATTTTTCTTAAGTACGTATTGACATTATAAACTTTGTAATCTCGCAGGGCTCCCGGATCCTTCTCAAGTGCACCAACCCCTTTTGGTATGCACTGCACACATTCATTGGGATCCTGAATTCTGTGATGTCAAATTAGTTCAGACAATGATGTTGTCAAATGAGCTAAAAGGTATACTGGACCAGGCCGCCCATTCATTCCGCCCAGGACATAAGGCAGATCCTGCTGCTATACAGCTTTTATTATGCGGAGACTTCAACTCATTACCTGATTCAGGTTTGTTTAAACTTAGCTAAATGGTTATAGCATGTGGCAGGAACTTATAGTAATAATCGCTTTCTTTTACAGGTGTAATAGAATTTTTGACATCAGGCAGGGTTTCAGCAGACCATGCAGATTTCAAGGAGCTAGGGTACAAAGCTGTATTACAAAAAATTTCTGGTTGTGATAAGCCAAATGAACTAACCCATTCATTTAAGCTGGCCTCAGCATACTCAGAAGATATTATGCCCTTCACCAACTACACGTATGTTGCCACAATACTGGTTTGCTAAGCAATAGCACTATCATTTACATCTTTTACTCATTTTTTCTTTTCTTTTTTTTTGTAGGTTCCACTTTAAAGGAATCATCGATTACATCTTCTACTCAAAACAAAGCATGACACCCTTAGGATTGCTTGGTCCTTTAGCCTCTGAGTGGCTTCGAGATAACAAAGTTGTTGGTTGCCCTCATCCTCACGTTCCTTCAGGTATGAGTGACTTAAATCAGTAGCAAAGTCTCAATAATGATGTGTGTCTTAACCATCTTATTTCTTTTGTGCCCACAGATCACTTTCCACTTCTTGTAGAATTAGAAATGGTCCCAACGCTGCCACCTTCAAATGGGCTCTTACAACGGCGGTAGCACAATCTTTATTATACTGAGTTATGATTTTTCTTTTCTGTGCAATAGGAAGAATCATAGCATATCATTACAACGCTGGTACCTATTTGCTGTCACAATTTCCTCTCAGCAACTTTCTTTTCATTTGATCACACCCTACAGTTTTAGCCATTTATGCAGATGGAGTGATGCACTGTGGACTAAGTGACACATTCAGGCGGGGAGAAGTCCTTGTTTACCTCTAGTCTAATGAAATCCATCATAACTTATTGTATCTTGGGATGATTTTTCCTGATAAATGTTTTATTATCCCCTCCCCTTTTTTTCTCGTTTTTTTTCTCTTTCCTGCTTTTTTTTTATTATTTTTCCCGTCACTTTTAAGAAACCTTCATTAACATGGTTTATAGATTGTGGATTATTAGTGCAGCTTGAATATTTCTAATTGCTCAATCTGCATTGAATTTTTTTTTAATATCTGTTTCAAAATTTTGAAAATTATTTGACAACTTTGTTTTTGCTACGAACTTCAAGCACAAGTGCCAAATGAAATTGTTTTCATTAGCAGTATTTTGATCTATCTACACCATGTTAGGAGGGAAATCTAGATATTTTATAGACATATTTTATAGGTATTTATTAATACATGACATTTGGTGATAGCAGGGCAATGAACATTTACCCAGTGAGAGAGCTTTCCCTTCTCATCCATCTCTTAGTGACTTGCTGTTCAAAATGCATAATATCTGTATACTCTAAATGTGATTCCTGTGAATAAGGCATTGATATGATCTGATCTGTTGTAGAAGGCTCAGTAAAATAACCTACAATGGCCTTCAAGAGGAAATTGTTTTTCGTAAATTCTTTAGATTTTAATCTTGTGTGAAGGTTCCAGAAAGTGACATGAATTTTAGTTGTAAACTTGTAATGCCTCAGTATTAAGGATTTTTTTTTGTAAGTTACTTTTAAAGTTGAAGCAAAATATGTCAGAAAATGCAGCTAAGGATTTGTTTCAATTTAACTGACTTTAATCCTGTCATTTTTACTCCTGTCCTAAGAGATTTATTTGAATTTAATTATGTTCAAAAATAATATGTTTTTAAACTGTTTTATATAATTTTTGTCTTGAACTTATGGATTCAGTCATTTTACTAATTTCTGAGTCATTTTGTGTTTGGTGAAACCTATGGGTTTGCCCTTCCTATTGTTCTTCATTCCAATTGTAACAATGTGGACAGTGCCTTGTGTTCTACAAATTACGCTCAAACTTTCACTTCATATATTTTAAGCTGCTGCCATGCATTCAGCTTTTTCCGCATTTTAAAGTATCTGTAAGCAAACATTCTTTGTGCAGCCCTCCCTTGTAAAGTTCTTAGTTAATATTGCTGTCTTTCTTGACAGAAACGTATGTATTGAACATTGTAAGTTTTCTCTTGTATTTTGAATTTGAGACCTTGCTGTCTTCATGATTCTCCACACTGACACATGTGATCAAAATACATATTACAGAAACTTTCTATGTATTTGAGAAATGTTGTAATGCCAATAGCATGGCTTCTGCAAAAATAGTCCATCCTTCTTATAAAGCTGTTTGAATTAGTTGTAGAATGTGTATTTGAAGCATCGCTCCAATATCAATGATTTCGACATCTAGAAGTAAGCAATACCCATGTATTGAGTCTTTTTGGCAGCAATTACTCGTACCTAATTAAAGTATAAATTGTTATGATTTTGTTATATAATGTATGGCGTGTCCAGATGTCTATTTCCTGTCCATTAATTTCAAAAGAAGGGTTTTAGATATAATTGAAGCCTCACATTGTTACTCTAGGAACTCAGTATAAAAGCTTTGAATCAATTCCTTTGAAATGCTTAATGTAAGTGTCTGCATTTTATTCCTGCCCTGTCCCATTTTTCAATGGGGCTGCCACAATTAAGTTTTACAGTGTATTCACATATTTAATCTCATGTGTCTGCCAAATAAAATACCGGTACATAATGTTTAGGTTACACAAAGGCTACATTAATTACGTAATGTAGATAATCTCTACATTGTGATTAATTATTAGCTGAGGTATTATTTCAAATTTTAACTTGTGACTCAAGCGTTTTGTTTATATTTAGACTCAATGTACAAAGAAAGCTTTTTCTGTTCTTGAGAACCGTTTTGCTTGCTTGCATAGCATAATTGTCATACCAGGAATCTAGCTTTAAAACTGGTAAAGTAGAAAACTGTTCTTATTGTCAGTCATCATGTAGCATTTCGAATCACACTTTAGGATGATACCGTACTAATCATTTACTGATGCAGAAGTCTTGTCCTATATTTTTCTATCTGATTCAGATCTTGGTTTTGAGGATTATAATGATAAATTATTTGCTTGTCACAATTGTTTTAGATAGCTTTGAAATAAGATCTCCATCGATAAATTGCATGTCAATATTTTGGGGCTCGTGTCTTTCCGTTACTTAGGTTTTAACTTAAGTAAGTTGAAATATGTTTTGTATTCTCTGTTTTTAAACATACCAGTGTCAGTGTCCTATACATGATTCAATGGTGTGACTGTTAATCATTTTTCATCTTGTAGTGCTAAGCTAGAAGCCTGTTGTCACTTTCTTGTGCTGAGTAATGATCCTGGTGCATATTTCTCTTAAGTTCCTTATGTGCAATATCCTTGAGCCTTTGCTCTATCTATGAAATGTTCTATGTTTTACTGTGTGTTTTACTGGAGAGGTTTTTGGGACACTTACAGAGATCAAGTGACAATCTTTGATTCTTTTTCTTACTTTAATGATTTTCTTCTTCTTTTTGTAAAGTGGCTATTGTTGATGCAGTACATTTGTGGTGCTCTTTTATGAAATCAACCCCCCTGTATACAGGTTTCCATGATAAGTCGTAGAGAATGGAGAAAGCAATGTACCTAACCCAATTTTAAGACTTATTGACCATTTAAACTGGTCTAAGTTGTAAAAAGTTTAATAATGTCTCAACTTGTTGATTTGTTCAGCAATGGACTGTGATTTGAAAATATTAAGCACTTATCTGGTTTCAAGTCTTTATAATATGTGATATGGAACACTATGATTCTCTATAATATTGTTTGCTTTAAGTAAGGGCCAAAAGAACAACCATATTTCATCCTATGTGGGGACGCATCAAATCATTCTTTGCTTCCCATTTCTCTACCGTGAACAGAGGAATTTTTCTGTTCTCTCATCAAGCTATCCTTAAACTTTCTCTTTATTGTCCTTCTCTGAAAAGAAAGTTCTCCTTTCAAATGTTAATCAACATGTTGACCAAATCTTATTTTAAGTTTAGAGTACAAATGAATTCAAGCATATAACTCTTGAAGTGCATGCTGTTGTGTTGATCCTTTTAGTTTAAGGCATGATTTTGTAATGATGGGAGAAGCATCTCAGTGTGATATAAAAGACAGCATCAAATGAGCAGTTGCCATCATTCTCTGAAAAATGTAAACTTTTCACCATGTTGTTTATACCCTATACATACATATTATTTCATTAAACCTAGATTTTCTCATTTGTGGTAATGCTTTTATTACTGGTAAATCGCTGTCTGTTAGACGATGGTTATACTATTGTAGTTTTGAGCAGCAGTCTGCATCCTTTTTTATCCTTTATTTGCCAGTGCTGAATGAATTTATGTGTCCAGTCTTCCTACAATTCACTTAGTAGAGAGATTTTTTGCTCCCCTAAATATTTCTTGTAAATTCATTTTTATTTTGTGGCTCTATATTTTGAACACTGAATCCTGGGTGCACATCTATTATTCTGTGGGGATATGATCTTGTGTTTCTCAGTGTGAAAATGTGGTTAATCAGTCATATTGTTCTTCTCTATCTTGAAAAGATTTCTAATTTCTGAAGATATTACCTTACTTCAGCTACTATTGACCTGCCTTTAAAGGATTGCAGTACTTTATCTTTTGCTGTATCTATTTTTATATCTGTTACTAAGTTCTTATAAAAACTGATGATTGATTTGTGTGTTGCAAGTATGAATTGATACGGTGTATGGGACAGAGAAATAATTGGTAACTGCATGGTTTGAAGAGGCTATGAGTACAAGTTCATATGTTACAGTTTTGTGTGTAATACAGTAGTTGTATAAAACATTTATCTTAACATCTATCTCTTTGTAATCCTATAAAACTGTAAAGTAGTGGCAATCAGTTTGGTTTCACTCATGTTACAAGCGCTGTTTTGTCTTAAATGCATAATTCATTGATGTAATTTTGGTTGCCATTACAATGATGGTGACATTTGTATGGGCATATGCTATGATCTCACAGTTTGGAGATGTTACTGTGTCATCCTGAATATCTGTCTCTGTGTAGTGATAGTTTACATAAACCTAATTGAATGATTATCGGCAAAAGATTCAATGTCACAATTTTGTTACCTACATTCATGCAAAATGTTTAATAAAATGAAATAAAGAACATGATGCAATAAAAAAGATGAGGGAATTTCTCAATGGACAGAGGTTTATTTTGAATGCTTTATTTTTACTAATACATACAAAGAATACATTCTAGACCCGGTAAAATGCTTAAGTGCAAAATATCTATAAACGTTCATACACAGAAGAATGAATTGAATATGCCAGTGTAAATTTCTTTGGTGGAACAAACCTGACACTGAAAAATTGAAAAGGGCGGCTAGCAGCTCACTTGAACATAATGATGATCATGTGAAACGCACATGCAGAAGCAAGTTTTGTTTTCATGTCTATTTGAGTTCAAATGTTCAGATAATGTAAGTTGCCAGCAGAGAGCATTGAACATGTTAAGTTGAATACTTAAGCAAATCAACAGGTATCAAAATAGATTGTCACTTCTACCACACTACTGCATTTCTGGTAATCACAAGGTAACTTTGCTATAATGTCCTGAAATTAATTACAGGGGTCAATAAGTTGCAAATCTCTAAACTGAACTGTACAAATGGACTGGAAAAGAGTATAAATCGCCACATGGTTGATGCATCATCCTTATGTGCATATTGATGATTACTGACAAAGTTCTGTTCTGATGGACAGAACGCTGGTAAAACATTTCTGGCAACTCTCAATCATACCTATCTTATCACAAATAGCATCACAAAATGAGCAACTCAGGCTACTACAAAGTGAGAGTCTGTAACTTGTTCCATACATCTAATAAACACAAATATGTATACACATGTACTGTATATGAAAATATAATGATAAATTATAATGGTAACAAACATTGCCAATAATCTTAAGCCCTGAGGCTGCATATTAGTTCAGGAAACGAATAGACATTTTTTGTTCCACATCTGTTCTTTCCAAGGCTTTGCAAAACTCTTCAAATGAGATCATTTGATCTCCATTTTGATCAGCTTCCATGATAGTTCGCTCTGCTATACTCGTAAGTTGTTCTTCACTGAGAGGACAAAGACAACACATTAATTTATTGCTGCCATCTTCCTTATTTAAATAAGACACAAACAAGTGAAACATACCTTATATTGGCTCCCACCATCATGTGAAGAATTGCAAGCAATTCATCTCTTGATACCTTGTCGTCGTTGTCCAGGTCATACATTTTAAATGCAACTGTAAGATTAAAAGTGTCACTAATAACTTTTTTTCAACCTTACATCTACCACTCTGTGGTGCTGACTAGGCTCAAACATTACTCACATCGAAGTTTTTGTTCCCTAGAATTCAATTTGTTATCCTTGGTCTTCTTAATAGGACGAAAGCGGGCCAAAACCTGCATGAACTGTCGGAAATTTACCCGATCAGCACCATCCTCAAAGAAGGCATGCACAATGCGATCACCCAGAGGATTAATGGCTAACTCTGGTATGCGAAGAAAGTCCTCTCGACTTAGTGTGCCACAGTCACCACGATCCAAGCTTGTAAATCGGCTGTACAAACGCTCAATCTGATTTGGTGTAACTGCAACAGAAAAGAATCCCATGTTCGGAAAGCTATTGAAGATACATCAGCATACAACAAAGACAATCATTTGCTAGAGCCAATTTGGGTGGAAAATAATAGGTAAACATCAAAACCTCCAATACTCGATGTTTTAAGGGTGAACAACAGTAGTCTGATCAATGTTAACTGTTTGTTAAATAGAGTCTTGAGAAAATGTGGCAACGACCCTTTCTTAAGGCAGAAAGCTGAGAGCAGTAGAAGGTTACATGTTTTTGTAATTGAAAGAAAAAAATAACCTATACTCACATCCGGTCTCTTCCTGAATTTGGGCAATCTCCTCGTCGCGAAGCAGCAAAGAAGACCTGTTTCCCATTTCTTGAAGTTTATGGAGACTGATGGATGCGAAAGATCAGCTTAACCACACAAAGAGCTCTGTTGTTGAAGGCAAACTGGCTGATCCACACCTCAATCCTCAATCAGCAGCCTTGAGCAGCTGATGGAGATGACGGTGAATCCAACGCCCGTCGTCTGTTCGTTTGTTGTTGAGAAGGGGACGGGCAGGGGAGGGGGGAGGAGGGAATGAGCGCACTTATTCGCACGATAGTTGTCAGCTTTCCCTATTCACACGTAAAACAATGGAGTGACGGATAATATACGCACGATCCCGCCTAAATACGAAAATGACACCAGCGGAAGGCCAGAGGAAGCGGCCGCCGTGATAATGGTCCAGTTCAGCCGTGGCTTTTTGCCAGTGTTTTGTTTTGCGCGTCTTCCCTGTGACGTGCCATAAGAGTGGTCTACCTTCCCGGCGCGGCGTAATTATGGCGACGAAAATGACTTTTCCCCCGCCGCAAGGTCTCACCCAGGTGAGTTCTGGTGCGGTGAAAAGGCAGTGAACGATGGGTTGCCTGCCTACCTGACCGCCCCGAGAAGGGACCTGGGTTCGACTCCCAAGCCTGCTGGTTTCCCTCTGAAACCCAGCTCCACAGTTCCGCCTTGCTGGATGTGCACCCCTTAATGACTCCAGAGACTATTTTGTGGACCAGTATCTTTCTAGCGTTATACTGGGGTAATTTGAGCATGCACAACCCATCGTTCATAGCCTGTATTCTCCATGATAGCCTCTCCACTTCAACATGACTCAACTCACAAGACGGCTTGCTCTGAACATTATGTGCCTTCTAACTCAAAGTGAAATGACCCATCGGTGCTCCCGCACGAACCGCACGAACCACCACCTAACTCTTCCCACGTCCTGTTGAACATTGCAAGTAATAAAATAATCGACTCAAGAATTTGCCGTTTAAGTTTATTTATTAGGTCTAAGTACACACAAGGGCTTTAACTATATACAGATATCACAAAGGGGTAGCAGTTGTTGAGCTAAATAATCACATTCATTCTGCCATAGTAACATCTACACAGCATCCACACAAATTTCTCTATTTTTAAAGAATTAGAAACAGTTTCTAAGATTTCAAACAGGTTTCAACTACAGATCATTAATGCATATTCAACACACATAGGTAGAGAAGAATTTTGCAACTGGAGAACTAAGGTAGAGAAAAAAGGGTCTTAAAAAAACAAAAAAAACAAAACAATAAGTCTAATCTGAGCTACACAAGTCACGTTTACAGATTGCAAGTTAAGAAGTTTAAGTACACAAAATTTGAAAAAATATGTCTAAATTTAATGATTTAAATTAAATTCATACAAATAAAATCAATTTTCTTTCCTAGACAGTATTGACAAACTACAGCATCAAATCAGTACAGGTCAAAAATTTAAGAGAAGGATTGATTGGGGTAAGGATTGAACAGAGAAGAGAACAGTATGCAGAAGGCTGCATCTCTTTACATGAAGAATCAGGATGTTAGTCAACAGCATAAACTACACAGATACTTTATGTTGATAAGGCGTTGTTACTTAAAGGACACACACAAGTTTTACACGCTCAACAACTTGTCAGCAGGGGAAAAAACAAAATCAGGGACAAAACAAAAATGCCTTGTATAGTTTCTGCATTAATAAATAAATACTAGCACTCAACACATCAGAATCAATCCCAAAATCAGTCTCCTCTCAGCTTTGGCACTGCGTCCACTTACATCTTCCGAGATAAACCTACAACAGCCAACGAAAATTCGACGAGCACAGATAATGACGCAAATGCTTCCAACACAATAAAAACGTTTGGACCAGGGCGCTGCATTCTATGGCACCAATCCGTAAAGGCTCGAGACTTGACTAGCTCCACTTAGTCCAAATTATGCAGATTCACTGATCACTTGGTCTTGCTGGCACGCATGGCACGGCAAATGTCCGGCCACGGGGCAAGCGAGGTGCACATTTTACACCGATGGTGGTTCGACTCCGGGAAGTGCATGTCGTGGCCGTCTCCATGGCTGAAGCCACGTCCTTGACTTTGGCCATGGCCTTGGCTATGGCCTTGGCTATGGCCTTGGCTATGGCCCTGGTTCTGACCATGGCTCTGGATCTGGCTATGACCTTGGTTGTGGCCCTGGCTGTGGCCATGACCCTGGCTGTGGTGGCCATGGCTCTGGCTGTGGTGGCCATGGCTCTGGCTGTGGTGGCCATGACCCTGGCTGTGGTGGCCATGTCCCTGGCTGTGGTGGCCATGTCCCTGGCTGTGGCCATGGCCCTGACTGTGACCATGGCCCTGGCTGTGGCCATGTCCCTGGCTGTGGTGGCCATGGCTCTGACTGTGGCTATGGTCTTGGCTTTGGCTTCGGCCTTGGCTGTGGCCATGGTCTTGGCTTTGGCTTCGGCCTTGGCTGTGGCCATGGTCTTGGCTTTGGCTTCGGCCTTGGCTGTGGCCACGAGCTTTGCTGTGGCCATGGCCTTTGCTGTGACTGCGCCTATGGTCGCGGTCGTGGCTCTGGCCGTGCGTAGTATGAGTTTGACTGGAGCGATGCGAGTTGGGCCAGCCATGGGCCTGCATCGCGCTGGAAGCCAAGCTTGGAGACGTCTGGCCCACCGCCGTCGAGGAAAAGGAATGGCTGGCCAGGGGAGGTGGTGGCGCGGGCACGTCGTGGATGGCCAAGCTGTGGTAGGGCACGCCGTGGAAGGGCAGAGGGGCGGGCTGGCGGCCAGGCATGCTGTGCCGCAGCCGCGTCCGCGCGAGGTGGTCCAGATCCTCATCTGGCTCCAGCGGTTCCGGCGAGTATGCGACTGGAGGAACGTCTGGAGTCCTCGGTGAAGAGCTGGGACGAGATGACTCGGACCGGCTTCTCTTGCCGCGCGAACGGCGCGAACGGCGCCTAGGTGTCTTCCTGTCTATGAAGTCAGCAAAGAGAGCAGGCGCGGGCGTCGCGCGCGGCGAGTCGTCGTAGTCGTCGATCATGTCGTCGAGGAAGATGAGCTCCGTGCTGCCCGTCGAATCCGAGTCCGAGTCCAGTCCGTCCCCGCCGATGACTGCGTGCGGCCGGCGGTGGTTCGGCGGCGGCAGTGGCGGCGGCGAGTCGATGTCGGGGACCTGGTACTCGGAGGGCAGGCTGGGCACGCTGGGGGCCTTGACGGGGGGCAGCAGCGCTGTGTACGTATGCTTCAGCCCGAGTTCAGAGGGCGAGTACTCGCTGTCGCCGTACTCAGGGGGAGGCGCCGGCGAGAAGGCGGCGGGCGGCTCCAGGGCTAACTGATCCAGGACTTGCTGCTCCGCGGGGGAGTAGTCCTGAAGGTAGCCGGCCGAGTAGCTGAGCGCGGCCGAAGACAGCACCGGCGCCCCGTCCGTGGACGGGCTGGCGCCGCTGGCGATGCTGCTGCCCGGCCCATTGCGCCCACCGCGTGGGCTGGCGGAGGCGATGACGGAGGCGAATGACTTGGGACTTCTGCTCCTGTGCTTGAACAGGCTGGCCGACTTGGCGGCCTTCTTGCCGTGCGGGCTTTGCAGGATGTGCAAGTCTTGCAAGCCGTACTGGCGCTGCTTCTCCTCGATCTCCCGGGCCAGTTTCTCGGCCAGTTGCTCGGCCACCTGCTGCAGGGTGGGCGGCTCGACGTCCTCGTCGGGCGACGGCGGGTCCGGGAGTGGGTCCGGGAGCCGGTCTGGCAGCGGGTCCGGGAGCGGGTCCGGGAGTGGGTCCGGAAACGGGTCTCGGTGCGGGGTGGACCGTCGCCGCGTCTTGGGGTTGGGCAGGGTGTTGGTGGCGACGGGCGAAGCCGCAGGCCGCCCTCGGGCCGCCTTGGAGGGGCGTGCCAGCGTGTTGCTGCGCGCGCGCCCTCGCTCGGGTGACCCGTTCCTGGACCCACCGAAGTCCGCCCCACCGGCGGTCGTCGACGGCAGTTGCAGCGACAGGGGCTGCGCGGCGTGCGCCGAGGCATGCACCGAGGCGTGCGCCGCCTCGAGCAACTCCACACTGCGGGCCTTCTCGAGCTTCGGCGACGGGCTGGGCGAGGGGCTCCTGGCAGCGCGCGTGCACGAGAAGGAGAACTGCAGCGACCGGCACTTGCTGGCCGGGGCCGGGGCCGGAGCCGGGGCAGGTATGGGCACCGCCCCGGTGCTCTTGGACATGGTGGACTCCACCAGCAGCGGCAGGTCCGTGCTGGACGTCTGCGCGTGGGACTGCGCGGGCCGCGGCGGAAGCAAGGGCGGGGGCTGGAGGGCGGCCTGCTGGGCCTGCTGGGCGGCCTGCTGCGCAGCCTGCTGCGCCTGCATCCGCGCGGCGAGTGGCAGCAGCTCTGTCCACGGCCACTGGTCCGGCGGCGGCAGCGGCGGCGGCGAGTCGCTGTGTGTCACGCCTTGGCCGCGGTCCTCGGCGGCGCCCGGAACGCCTGGAGCGCCTGGCCCGGCCAAGCACGTGAGCAGAAAGAGTCAATCGGCCAGCAGACCCTGCGATACCGACAGCAGCTGGTCCTTCAGGACGCGGAAGGAGGGGCGGTCCTCAGGGGTGTGGCACCAGCATTTCCTCATCACCTGCAAAGCACAGTAAAGTGGTTTTAAAGAATTTCCAACATTACGGAAAAAAAAGAAGTCGCGAGGCTTTGTTGTGTACCCACTTCATAAACCTCCTTGAAGCAGGCCTTGGGGCGTTCAAGGATGACGCCGCGTTGCACTCTATCCACGACTTCCGTATTCTTCAGTCTGCCATAAGGCATCTTGCCGCAGGTGAACACCTCCCACATGAGCACGCCTGGGAAACAGATCATGAGAGGCGTTAGTTGATGACAAAGCCGCGATTTAAAATAACGCTTACAGGAAGGACAAAATAAAATAGCATAAATATGCCTACCATAAGCCCAGACATCAGATTTGGATGAGAATCGTGTGTAGTTCAACACCTCTGGGGGCGCCCACTTGATTGGGAATTTGGTTCCACCCGAGCTGGTGTACTGGTCATCTAGGACATATCTGGAAGAAAGCAGAAAATGGGGTACTGATATGTGTAATGAATGTATTTGGCGAATCTCGGTGAAGGCGGCTGGCGTGCCGCCGCGTGACACGCTGCGTGACGCACCTGGCCAGGCCGAAGTCGGCCACTTTGACGACGTTCTCGGAGCCGACGAGGCAGTTGCGCGCAGCCAGGTCCCGGTGGATGTAGTTGTGGCGCTCCAGGTAGGCCATGCCCTTGCACACCTGGATGCACATGTCCAGCAGCAGCCCCACGTTGCCGCCCAGGGTCACTTCATGGCGGCGCAGGTAGTTGAGCAGGGAGCCGTGGCGCATGTACTCCGTCACGATGTAGATGGGCCGGTGCTTGCTGCACACTCCGTACAGCTGCACCAGGTTCTGGTGCTGCAGTTTCCTGTTCGCATCAGAAAACAAGGATAAGTATTTCGCGCACACAGAGGCAGAGGTTCCGATTATTTGGTCACCGGTTAACAGCACGCTTGGGTTTCGTTCGGATGAGGACGAAACAACCCCAACCCTAGCAACTGAGGTTTAAGGTTTAACGTTGGACGCTCAACGAACGGCTCTGCACTTAAGCCTGCGTTGAGTGCATGGGATCGGAAAACAAGAGGTTTGGCCCCAAGGCCCGACTGGATCCACCCACAGGCCGTCCAGGCCGCCCCGCCTTGATCGGCAATCGCGCCCGGCTCGCCCCACTGCATAACTACCGAGCCAAGTGGGGCTGAGGGACAGGTTGCTGCCGACCTCATTTGCCGAACATAAAGTGCACTTTGGAATATTGAAGCGGCCGACGCAACCTTACTTCCGGCCGAATGCCGCGCTGCAGCCCCTCCTCGTCCTTCCCCGGCGCCTCACTTACGTCATAACTTTGGCCTCCTCGATGAAGTCATCCTCCGACATGGTGCCCTCCTTCATCATCTTGACGGCCACGTCGATCGAGCCGCGCCACTTGCCCCGGCGCACCACACCGAACTGCCCCGAGCCCAGCTCCTCCAGCAGCATCAGCTCCTGGGGGTCGATCTCCCACTTGTCTGCAAACAGGACACGAAAAGGCAAACTCAATAACGTCCGGGCCGACACACGAATGCGGGGCGTGACCATTGAAGACGATAGAATGGACAGCATGAGCCACTTTATTTGAGTGGACCCGACAGGGTTGGCAACGTAACATTATTTCAACGCTAGAAAAAAAAGATGAGCCACGAGGCTTCGCGCAGGCAAAGATAAAAAAATAAATCACAATTTAAAATTGAAATGACAAAAAATTGGAAGTTCAGTCGATTTGATCAGCATGTGCCCATTTGGTCAAGTCCCATCAGTTTTTTTTACTGAGTTATATTTACCGTGGCTGAGCCCTGCGGTGGCGGGGACGGGCCTGTCGCAGGGAGAGGCCTTGAGGCGCGACGCCAGCCCGCCGCTGTTGTGGCGGTGGTAGTTGACCAGGTCGGGGATGGAGCCGCAGCAGTGCTTCTCGGAGAGGAAGAAGTCGCCTCGCGAATTCTGTTTGATGTGGTAATGTTTGACGTGCGGATGGGGCCTGGAAAAGCAGTGAGCGAAAAAGCCCAGTTTAGCCCCTCCCACAAGCAACATCCGCTAGTCGGGCGAAATGATTTTGCGGTTGTGGTGGCGCCAAACCGAGCGACCAGCGCCAACCACCCCGACTGAATCAGCGGACGAAATGGATTTAGCAAAAGCAATAACATGATCAAATTGGGTGCAAAATGGATCCTAGGCTCCCACACTGCCTTCCTGAGGACGGCCCAGTGTAACGGGGCCTGCGCCTGAGCCACAGCAAGGCGGCACAAGTCAAAGGCAGCACAGGGCAGCGCGCTACTCACACTTTGGTGTAGAGGGACAAGGTGTACAGGCCCTTGGTGGACGAGTTGCGCACCACGAAGCAGCCCTCTTTGTCCTCCTGCTTGAGGCAAGACTCTGCCCGCTGCCGCGACATGTCCCCGACGTACCACCTGACATCAAAGCAGAGTCACAAAGTGGCACGGCGACGTCGTTCCATCACTCGCCTCTACTTGGGGCAGTGAACACACCAAACCCTGTCAAAAATAAAACGCAGGAAGGGGACTCACTCGTATTTCTGCAATCCCAGCAGCTCCTTCTCCTTGACGTAGTTGCTCGGGATGTAACCGATGGCGCTGAGGACAGAGGCAAGCTTGCGTTATAGGCAAGGGGACACTCGGACGTTCCACTGATGTGCAAAGCGACAGACGACGAGACAGTCCACTTACCCATTCTCATCCTTGACCTTCCACCAGTGCTCCTGGGAGTCGTCCAGCACCTCGTACTCGGCGCCCTGCAACACGACATCAGGGTCGTCAAGGTCACGAGCGGGTTCGCAGCGGTCAAGCCCGGCCGAAACCACCAACGGCCGCCAAGCCCAAGTCAAAATTTGGTTATAAAACGCTTTGCAGCCCGCCGACAAAGTTTGAAACGAAAGTACGGGCGGCCGTAGGGCCGTTGCTGTGGCGATGGGACGGGAAGGGCCCTCGTAAACCCTTCAAACAGCTCGGTGTCCTCCCCTCCCCGGTCGCCACTTTGAAGCACAACGAGCGCCCAACGCGCAAGCACACACGCACACACACTAACCTTCTCCAGGGAAAGGTCTCCCCCTTCGATGGCTTTGAACGGGTACAGGGCCACAACCACTTTGTTGCGGACCATCACCTTGTCCTGGAACATAAAAAGGAAAATCCAGTTCACGTCAAGGAATCTGTGAAGCGGCGGCACACTTCAAAACCTGGTAAGAGGATGCCGCGCTTGTGGAGGCGGTGTCCGGGTTTGTTTACAGAAGCGACCGCGTGACTCAGACAGACGCCTTTCCCGAACGGTACCATCACCTCTGCGAACGGCAGGGGGGAATCGAACGAGGGCAGGCGGCGGGGCGGCCGCGCCTCCGAGAGAGCCATTAGCCCCCGATAAAGGTTGCAATCTTCTCGCCCTGGGCTGCGGCCGGCGGGGCCCGACGAGGCCCGGCGCGAGGGTCGGCACGGCCAAAGGGGTGGCCAAAGGGCTTGCACGCCGCCCGGGCGCCGCCTGCACGCTGCAACCCTTTGGCATAAAGGTCGGGCCGCGAAAGGGCGGGACGCGGCGGGACACGACGCACTGTTTCGTCAAAGCGTGGAACGAGAACGGGCCATTTCCTCAATTCGATATCGGGGACGAACTGGCGCGTTATCATCGAGTTTGGGGGGCACAAAAGCAAGTGGGCCGAGGCTCCGACGGGTACTCTGCTACTTAGATATGGGCGTATTCAGGGCCTCTTTGATAAAAATACAAAGAAAATGAACATATGAAAAATAAAGAAGTATGATAAAATAGGAGAGCCTGGCCCGACTCAAAGATTGTTCCGCGACTGAGACACCGCCGCGGCCGCGGGAAGTTCTTCGGCGTGGAGGACTATCGACGCCGCAAAGCCTACCTTGACCTTGGAGCTGGGTGTTCCTGGAGCGCCGCCCGGCATGATGGGTGCGGATGGGGGACCTGCAACACAGAAACACGGGTTAAGAAGAAAAGGTGGCGAGTGCAAAGTGAAAGAGGGGAGGGGTAGGGCCGGGGGTGTTGCCGGGGGTATTGCCGGGGGTCCCAGGGAATACGACGTGTGAGGGGCTGTACGTCATCAACGCGTGCCCTGTAAAACGAGAAGACGGTGGGTCGGCAGTCGTCTCCGGTGGCCCCGCGTGAGGTAACGAGAGAGGCGCGGCCTGCGGCCCCAGCGAGGCGGGCGGCGGAGAGCCCCTGCGGCGAGGGGTGACCCACTGTAAAATTTTGTGTACAATGATTGTGTGAATGTGCAAGAATGTGCAAGATTTCTGGCGTTTTTGCCACACATGTTGCCTACTTACAGGCGTTTTTGCCATTTGAATGTGGAATGTGGTCAAATTTTGTACAATGAATGTGGGAAGTTCCCCCCTCGCCCTGCGGCCTGCGAGGTGGTTGGGCAAGGCAGGCTGACCCGCTGGCCGGTCTTGCCCACCTCGCAGGGGCATGCTAGGGCCGCTAGGCCCGCCATGCCCGCCAGTGGATCGACTTAGTCGCATCCCACAGCCTTGCCTCTCAATTGGCGCCTTTATTCAGCGCAGGAAGAACATGTGGGAAAGGACAAGGACTGCCTGGCTTGCGAGGCCTGAGACACAGTCGCTTGAGAAAACTGGCAACCTTGGGGTGCGCCGGCGCGCTGGGGCGCAAATTGTGTGCGAGTATCAGATCGATAAAGATGAGGTGAACTCGTTTGAAATTCAATCCCCGCGCGGCGCCTCTTACCCCAACTCCAACTCTTCTGGAGCAAACTCGGCGAGTGATTGAAGAAACAACACCTCAGAGCCCTACTGCTGTTGTGCGGCCCGAATCCTCCCACCACGATAAGCGAAGATGAATTCAGACGCCACATAAATCTAATCCAACAACAACAACAAAGAGCGATAGCGCGACCCTGCTCCGTTTCTAACTCAAAATAAATCACCAAGTTAGGTCGGTCCCTGTTTGAGCTCCGCGTTCCACTCTGTCCTCCGAGCCCTCCGAGCATGGGGAGCAGCAGGCTAACTGTGCGGTGGAGGAGGGCTCCAAGTTGGAAATTGGCGAGAGGAACCATGGACCGTGTATGTATGTGCGAGTGTGTGTGTCCGCGCCTGTTTGTGCGTGTGTGTGTGACCACCCGCGCGTGTAGAAGTGTGACGGTGAGCAAATGTGTAAAGGTGTGCGTGTGTGCGCATGAGTGCGAGCGAGCGTGTGCGAGAGAGAGGGAGTCCCTGCAGGGTTGAGCCGACAAACAAGCGGAAAGAGGCCGGATGCACGAGTTACACCGTCTCACCCCGCGCCGCTCGTACGCGCCATGTTAACACAGCGCACGCACTGGTCGCGATATGCAGAGACATAAATTCTGGCCGCCCCCACCCCAGCGCCATCAACCACCGTGTCGTATAACAGCGCGTCACGATAACAGCGTCTTCCGAGAAGTCAGAGTCGGCGACGTTAAATATGGATGGGGAGGAAAGCACCCCTGGGATCCAGTTTCAGAGAACCCAGGCAGGTTGCAATGGTTCAGTTCCGCGAAGACAAAGATCAAGGCATCGCATCATCTCGTCTTCGCTTGGCGCCCTCCACGGCGGTCCATTCGCTTTCTCAAGTAACGTCGCGCCCTGCTCTAGAAGGGCAGCAAACCACACACTAAAGTCTTTGGGTACAATTTGTTTAGGTGACGTCACACAATTTTTCACAGGTGTGCTTTTCGTACAAATCAGTGCGAAAAAAAAACTTAACACGCTCAAAATTGTGAACACACGAACAAAATTATACACATTTTTCTAAACAAAAGTTTCAAAACTGCCACGTGTTTCCAACAACAACAAAAACGATAGTCATAATAATAATATAATAATAATAATAATAATAATAATAATAATAATAATAATAATAAACACGAGCGAATGCGCGGCGACGATTTTGTGGCCTCAGCTGGTCGTGGGAGCCTATTTGCTTGCCGCGAAAAGCAACACATCACAAAATACATAATACATGCATACACAGAGGACATTGGCAGAGGCGCCTGAACGTGATGGAAAATCATCGACCGGAAATATGAATGGGTAAGTAAACAGGAGTACCGGTTATCGCAGCGCCCTGCCAACAGGCGCAGCGCGGCGCACCGTCCCTGCGTGCCCGGCCCCAATCCTGGGGATGGATGGGCAAAGCGGCAAAGGTCGGGCGGTTGGGGGAGTCTCGCTCGCACTCGAACGCCATCCGCATGCCGCCTACTCTCTCCAGCCTAGCCAAATTCAGCATGCAGTCCGCTCCGCGCCTGCCGATCCCTAAACCAAGCAAAGGTTGCTCCTCTCCTCACCGTGGTGCCTGCGGACGCCGCGGACGCCGCGGACCGGCACTACGGGCACGGCCACCAGGACGACGCTGCAGTCGCTGCACTGCATGGCGGAGGCGACGGTACTCGTGGGACTGACTGGCTCGCCTGGACCACGTCCTGGACGCTCCAGGACGCAGCGGGCGCCACGCGTCACGCCGTCGTGGCCGCCGCTTAATTTATCGCGGAGGAGACGCGGCGAGACACGGCGTCAGGCCTCTCTCTCTCTCTCCCCACAAGTGCGAGAAAGAGAGAGAGAGAGAGAGAGAGAGAGAGAGAGAGAGAGAGAGAGAGAGAGAGAGAGAGAGAGAGAGAGACTGCAGAGCGCGGCGGGTCACGACGACGGCGGCCCGCGCGTCCGCCGCCTGCACACCATTTTTAGACCTTTTCCGAGAGGTGACCAAACACTGCACACGACGTGGCCATGCAAGCAGCGGGGCGGGGAGCGGGGCGGGCGGCGAAGCAGTGGCAGGCGCAGTGAATTTTCTGGAATAAAATAGGGGAGAGCGGAGGTACGGGGGGAAAGGTTCCACGTTCCTGGATATTCGCGGCGCTCTGATGGTCTCGTCTCCACTTTTGAGAGTATATCGGCAGGCTCTAGGCAATAAGGACCCAGGTACGGGGGCGGAGCGCGGACCTCCGGCCAGATGTTGCCCCCACCCCCACCGCACGCGCACCCCACGCGCACCCCCCGCCCCAGACACCCCCCTAGCCACCTGTGCTGAATAATGCATCGAGGGCTGCCGGCCGGGCTGGCCGGGCCGGGCGGGGCGTTACGTGGAGCCCTTCCCAGACAGAAAAGGAGCGCTGTGTAGGGCTTCGGCCTCGGGCTGGGCCGCGCTGGTCAGTGTGTGGCGTCTCACCCCGGCTGGCGAACGTATACTCACTCACTCTGTCATTCACTCACTCCAACCACCCGCCCACCACTGACTGACTGACTGACTCACTCACTCGCGCAGGGCGAAGATGAGGGCGAGTCCACGACGGCGGCCTTCGGGGAGGGCAGTGACGGCCTCGTCCAGGACGGCCTGGTCGCTGACCCTCGGCGCCTGGCCTGCCGAGGATTTGTATGAAATAAGAGAGTCAGAACCGGGAAAAGGCGAGGGAGGAAAAGGGGCCACCGCCCCTCGCCGCCCACGGCGCCGGGGGGCAGGCCGTCCAAAGCCCCGCAGCGGCGCGATTTTTCACGGGCAGGGCCTTTGCGTCCGAGGGCAGCGAAAATAAAAGAGAAGAAAAGGAAAATGCGATAAAAAGTGAAAAACAGGTCGGCCGAAAAAAAGGGAGAAAGAAGGAAAAAGATGGGTGCACTCTGCAACGCCAGAGTGCACTGTGGCACGCCACGCCCGCGAAAAGCTTTTCGCAAATCGGTTTGATGATGGTCTTAACCAAGAGATGCCCATTTCCCGCACCGTCCAAAACGCTGTTTTCCGCTTTGATTGATTTGTAAGTCCACTCACTGCAATCCTCTGCGGAGTGAATGGTGACGGAAGTCAGGCGCGTGGACGCTTTCCAACGGAAAATCATTAAAACAAAGCCTCTTTTTAAGCAGGAGATCAGACAGACTACGCGCCCTCTCCGACAGGTACAAGGCGCCCCGAGACACACGAGAGCCAGGTGCAGTAGGGTCTCTCGCCCGGAGGCGCAAGGCACAAAGGCTGTCCGGAACAGCGCGCCACACCCTCACGAGCAACCCGCGTCTTGTTGCGGAACTCTGTTCAAACAGCAAAGCTAATTTGATTCCAGCGTTCATTTGCCTCTGCTGGAACCGTACACAATACAATTGTATTAATCCCCACGGCGCTGGCCTTTTTTTCGCAATTTTGTTTTTTCAGCCAGAGTCACAGAGGCGGCTCGTCATTTCGGCAAACAAATGTCGGTGTTTCGACTTGCAGCGCGGCCGGCGCGGCAAACACTCGGCTTCTCTGGCCCGAGCCACAGCCTCGACCGCCACACCCATATGAAAAAGAAAGGCTCCAAAAACAGCCCGAGCGGGGGCTATGTCCGAAAACGGTTCCACCGGACTGGTCCGGCTGACATCCAGAATGTTAGAAATCCGGCAAGGTTTCGGGTGTTGTCCGACGACTAGATTCGGACTCTTTTCGGACTAACCCGAAGCAAGGCCGGCGAGCAGGGCGGGCTGCTCCCCGCCGCCCCCCACCCTTCCCCTCCCTCCCGAAACCCCTCTCCTCCCTTCGGAATCCCCTCCCCTCCCTCTGCAAGTGCAGTGCAGGCAACACTGCAAAGCCGGTGCACTTGGCAAGCCGTTTTGAATGTTGAAAATTGGCAAGCCTGGACCTGAAATACTTCCGAGTTCGCTAAATTTGGGCATTGCTGGCGGCCGAAGCGCTAAGTTTGGGCAAACTGGAAGATTTCAGGTCAGGGCTTGCCAATGTTTAGCATTCAAAACGGCGTGCCACTTTTGTGGCAGGCAAACTTGGCACCGGATTTGAACTTACGATAGTAATCAAGTAGTTGATATGTAGGATAAAAATAATTTCCGATGGAAAGCACTTTGGGGACGAGAGTGCACGGGGAAAGGCGAATTAAATGATACACCTCTCGCCCTCGCACCGCCCGTCCCTTTAGTGTTGGGAGATGCACACAGAACAGCAAGCGTAGAGTCACTAGC